TTGTACTTATCTTCTTCGTGTGCTTGAAAAACCCCAACCGAGAAAAGCTTTTTTTTTTTTTTTTTTTTAGGAAAAAAAAAAAAAAAAAAATAGAAGCACAATCTAATAAAAAATGTCATAAATTGACAAATATTCATGCTGGCTTAAACAAACCAATCATTTTCCAGCTGATCCTGTTGGAGGACGCCTGGAGGGAGCTGTTTGTTCTGGGTATCGCTCAGTGGGCAATTCCTGTGGACTCCACGACTCTCCTTGCTGTCTCTGGTACGTAAAATCCTAAAATCCTTCTATGAGCAGACAGTGTGCGACTGCTTGGTGCTGCATTCTTTTCCCACATGGCGACACACTTGTCTCTCATTTCCATCAACAGGGATGAACACAGAAAACACAGAATCTCAGCGGATGAACAAGATCATGTCTGAGATCCAGGCACTTCAGGAGGTGGTGACCAGATTCCGACAGATGCGGCTGGACGCGACGGAGTTCGCGTGTTTAAAATGCATCGTGACGTTCAAAGCAGGTGTGTAGTTGTCAGCTTCCTAAAAAAATAAAAATAAAAAAAATACTACAAGTTGCTACCTGAAACTATCAGACAAAATCAAAGGGGTTGGCTCAACTTGAGCGACCTCAGCTTAATCCGTTCCATGAACCTAAACAGACTATGTTTACAGTTCCTACCCAAGGCAGCACTGAATTAAGGAGTTTCCGCAATGCCAGCGCCATCGCTGCACTACAAGATGAAGCACAGCTCACACTCAACAGCTACATCCACACCAGGTATGTGAAAAAGAGACAGACATTACATTGCAAAAATATTTCCTTCTGATGGATGGTGATATTTGTGGAAAAAAAACTAATGACAAGAAAAATAGACCTAAAAATTGCTTTTAGTACTTTTAGTGTCATTCTATTTTGTTAACCCAATGCAATTATTTGAAAACAAAACTGGCAAACTGCTTAAAAATTCATTTGCGACCACATCTATTTTTAAAAACCTTAGTCTGCTCTCCGTCATTTTTAGCATAGGTTGTTGAGAGCCGTTGCAGAGCGTCCAAAGAGTCAGTTGTGGCTCTGATGCCGCAGGTCGCAGACCCCTGAAACAGAAACTCAACCTCAGTTTATTTGGATGGAGAACCTGCAAAAAATAAAACAAAATAAAATACAGTATCTCTTCATATTTTGATTCATTATTCTAAAACATGAATACATGTTGACCTCAACAGTTCCCTTGAAGCTTTGGCTGTCTGCTTAGGATCGCTGTCTTGATGGGAAGTGAACTCTGACCTCAGTGTGAAGTCAGAGCAGCCTCAACCTGTTTTATTTTAATGTGGATCGCTGTGTATTTAGATCCATCCAGCTTCCCTGCTTTTTCCTGAAGGATTCCTCAGTATGATGCCGCCACCACCAAATTTCAGTGTGTTTGATGTGTTCAGAATAATTTGCAGTCCTATTTTTTCCACCACAAAAGCATTTTATATGTTGACCTAAATGGTTTAATTTGTCCACATACGCCTTTCTCCCCTTGTTATCTTGTAGCAAACTGCAGGTGGGATTTTCATAGCCAGACTGTCTGGTCACCCATTTGTAGAGTGCAATATTATTATTTCTTCTTGTTCTACATTTCCACAAGCTATAAACACAGCTGTTCTGCCTTCACAGATCACCACAGGTTAGAATCTAATCCATCCAAGCCTGTCTGTCATTAGTTGTATTATGCAGAATTAACTTCAACCTGATGCATCTTGGTCTTAACTGGTTGTTCTTTTTTAGTGTTATACTAAACAGAACATGTATAAAAGGTGGTTTTAGAACCCTTTTCTCCGTTTCAGGTACCCAACTCAGCCCTGCCGCTTCGGGAAGCTGCTGCTGCTCCTCCCGGCACTCCGCTCCGTCAGCCCCTCCACCATAGAGGAAGTGTTCTTTAAAAAGACCATCGGGAACGTTCCCATCACAAGGCTTCTGTCCGACATGTACAAATCAAGTGATATATGAACTATCTGACTGTCCAGAGGCGTGAAAAAGGACTAAGACATCCACCCAGGTCTGGACAGAAGGTCAACTCAACGTAGGTGCAGCAGACGCGGGTTGAAGTTTTCACGGAGCACAAAGTCTTTTTAGGCCTGTAGGCTCCACACTGAAGTAAAGACTCCCAACACAGTCGGATCACCTATTAACAGTTGCACTAGTTAAGGATTAGGCTCAGAAAATTGCAGTTTACAGTATTTAAATGTCGCCTTAAGACTCTAAAAGAGCGCCTGCCAAGTCCATTTTTAAACAGAAATGCTGTACATTACGATGTCTTTCGAGTGTCTTTGAGACCAATGAGCTTGATGACCAATTTAATCTTGTAATTGCTGTGTTCAGTCCCAGTGGAGGAAACCAAAAAGATGCCCCAACAGTGAGAGGGCCCCGAGTCGCTGTTCCACAATCCAGTGCTGAAACCAAATGCACAAAAAGGGGGCAACAACGAAGAAAATAGACTTTGACGTGAAAACCGTTGCTGTAAAATTATTCGAGGAAGTCATTGCAGAGGCTGCTGTCCCATCCGTCGGTGTGTCCTGCTTTCAGACGCAGCAGCATTTCAAAAATGTCTTTAGGTTGATTTTGTGACGACAGACACTAACATTGGATAAAATAATATTCAGCACTTGGAAATGTTCTTTTGTGGCCTGTGTTCTTTTGAGTTTGCTGTAAATATCTTGAGTTATAACTATTTAGAGTTGTAACAAAGAGAATAAAAGAGGTGAAGACTAAACTCAGCTGGTTTCATACGTCAGATACCAGGAAACAGCAGGAGTTAAAGCTTTTTCATCTTATTGCTCCTCCTACACTCGATTATCTTGACCCTTGAAACGTCCAAGATACAAAACATACAACTAACAATGCATGACATATCCATTTAATGACATGTTCTCACAATTCAGTATCCTATTACACTGCTCGACACACCAACAGATCAATGCATTTGATCAACTTTCAAGACCTGTTCTGAATATTTATGCAAAAAAAAAAAAAAAAATCTTCTGGAGTCAATAAGAGCAGATAAATTTGAATTGAATGCAAAATGTTTCTAATGCAAGAGTAAAACAGGCCCAAATGTGTGTAAGCAGCCTCACTAAAGGCGTAGGCAAAATTTGTAGCTGCTCAAAGGGAAAGCCAAAGGTTTTCTGGTGAAATGAGACAAAACCAGTGTTTGGTGAAGAAATGGTGAGGCTTTCATGCCAAGTAACACTGTGGAAACTTCCAGGCATGGCTATGGTGGTATCATGCTGAGGAATTGCTTCATTAGTACTGGTATATTTCACTGGGAGAAATAACGAACATAGAGAACAAATGGTCATAATTCTTCAACCTTAAAACTTGGGTTTAGCAAACGTGCCAAAAGTTTTTCTTTTTTAATAGAGAAAAGACTCAACATTAAGTTTCTGGAAAGTCTGAGATCTAAACCTTATTGATATTTTAAACACTAGGAAACAAACTCTGCTACTTAAGAGAAATATGAAGCCAGAATTATTTCAGAGTTATTGATGGCTGATCAAATCCTTTAGTTTTCCTGCAACTTGCCATAAGAGAATTGCACAACTATTTTTAGAGGTGCATGTTTATTTTTGAGACTGAGAGGAAAAAATTGTGAGCCATAATGAAGCCCTACAATATGCACATAAGTGATATTTTAGAAGTTACTGGAATTGCATGTTTAAAGTTCCTTAAAGTCTAAACTTAGTCAAAATGGTTCATAAGAATCAATAAAAGTGTAAAACGATGTTCATGGTGAGGATAAGTGCTCCGTTATTGAGACTTTATGAATTTATGAATTACATTATAAACATGTATTGATTTAACAGCTATTTTACCTGCACACTAAAATCATTTGACAATAAAAAGCCTTGCAACAGCTGTGCATCATTTGAGCAGACAATTCAAACACTTCACACAAAATGTACCTCTCCTACTCTAATAAAAACCCTTTGAACAGCCACCACTTCTTAACAAAATTGCATCAAGATTAATTTATTAAACGCTAAATACAATTTGACGGTTGGTGCGACTGCATGCAAGCACGATGTGGCTCGGACGACAAAATGCACTTTGGCGCGGAGACATTTCACCTGTTTTATTGGAAAATTTTTCAAAATAAACAAAAATGGCACAGCAGTATACAAATCTCAAAATGCATATTGCCAGTAGAAATACTGCAGTTCTCCCTCTGTGTAAACTGCATGCTAGAAAAAACATGGTGATCATCGGGTTGGTGCTGGTGGACACGATGCGCACAGACACACACATGCATCCTTTTTAAGACAACAACTAAGTGTGGCTTGAAAGTCGAGGTCCGTCGAATATGTGCGAGCGTGTGTGTGTGTGTGTGTGTGTGTGTGCTGGTTATGGAGAGCAATGAGCCAGTCGTTGATGGAAGATGGCGTGGGACATTACACGAGTGTTGCATACAAAGAAGTTTCATTCAACAGTAACATATGAAGGAATATATTCTGGACAAGGCTAAATGATAAATATATAATATATTTTTGTTAGTGGTATCTTTAGACATGAAGAAAAAATATCCGTGAATCACTTTAGACCACAGCTGTGTACAGAACATTCTTGACTTCATTTGGAAGGTCAAAACAGACATTAATCAGTGATTAGCAATTAAACTTACATAGGCAAGAAATAATATCTTAGACAATGTAGGAAAGAAGAAAGCGTCGCCAAAAAGTTTATTGAGAGACATTTGGAGCAGTGAAGAGAAGCTTTTGGTTGTAGGGCCAAGCAGAGCCATGATTTATTTATTTTTTTCTCAGGCTTGTCTGATTTTGGATGGGGTGTAGTTCTTGTCCACAAACTCGTCCTGTAGAAACATGTGTAGGCAGCGTTCATTCTGAGCTAGAGGGTGTCCGGCCACTCTGAAAAGAATCACACGAGAGCAAGAGAGATCGTTTTACTCCCATTGAGAGAAGGGCACAGTTATAGGAAACTGAATTGGTCGAGAATTAAAATAATTAGGAATCATTTGAATGACACTGATAAAAAGCTTGTTGTTTGCGCGTCGTTTGCAAAAAGAAAAAAAAAATAGTCAGGAAACTCTATTTAAGGTGAAATAATGAATTTGGTAGGGTCAAAGCCATGTAATTCACTGGAACTCGATGGTCAGATGCACTTTATGATTTATGTAGATGATGCAAAATTTCAGCAAGAAAAGAAAAAAGATGCATACGCTGGGTGACACCATATTTTATTTTATTTTTTTTTACAATGGACAGTATTTTACAAGCCAAACAGTTTTCTAGATACCTCTCATTAAATTGGCCAACGTAATTTCCACTTCAACACCGGTAACAAAATAAAGGTGCATCACAAATTAGAATATCATTGAAAAGGTAAACTAAAAGTAACTAATTCCATTTTAAAAAGTAATTAAAATGTCGAGTCAAGTATTTATTTTCTTATTTTGATAGTGGCTTATCGCAAATGTAATCCAAGTGATACATGTTTCAGAAAATTTGATTTTCATTGTATTGCGACATCCGGAGCTTCCAACCTCAGCTAAGGAGAAAGAGAACTTGACTGGAAGAAATTAAATGCTTAAAATTTAACGCAACTCCTTTACCCGTTTCACAACATTTCACTCTAGGCAGAATCATGCAAGTGCCAATGTAAAGAAATTACATTTCTAAAAATAAAAAAAGGAATAATCTCCAAGATCTCCATTAAGAATTTAGTTCACTGCTAATTTTCACCCAAACAAATGTCATTTATTTGTCTGCTCAAATTACAAACAAAACTGTTTGTTTGTATCTGAAAGACAGTCAAAAGCAGAGAATTCAATTCAAAGTCAGCAATTGTTACATCTGGTTTGCTATAAATTCTTGTTTTTAATGCCATTTCCTTCTTAAGAGCCAATCTGACATCAGATTTCCTTGAAGGCCCGCTGAGATGACGCACCGCAGCATAACGAGAACGGACCAGTGCACCTGAGACCCTTAAACATGACATTCTTTAAAATGCTAAATCACTCGGAGCAGATGAACACGATAACATGGCACACATGGACGCATCTTAACCCCTGATGGGGAAACATTTGCAGAGAGATGAAACAACGCAGAATGATTTTCAGGTCAAGTACCAGAGAAATGACTGGGAAGGAATTAAAAAAAAAAAAAAAAAAAGAAAAAAAGTAAAAAACCGATCTTGCCTGAACGGATTCTGCTTAGTGAATATGGAAACATTGGCCCAGAGGACAAGAGCCACGAGGATGTTAAACGTAAAAGCCTTTTCAAAGGGGAGATTCGAGCTCTTCTCTCTTACCTGAAGTATAAATTATGTTTAACTGGCGTAATCAAAAAGTGATCGTTCTCCTCTCTCCTCCCTCTTACTTGTTCCACGGCAACAATCATCTTTAGCATTTCAAAAGAATTACTCTTCACAATGCTCTCAATCACAGACTGAACAATGTTGGCCAGTAATGCATCTGAACAATAATATGATCAACAGCAGCGCTTCATTTACAGGAAGCAAAGACGGGGGGATGGAGGGGTATAAATCCTAATTACCAAATCATCTTCCTCTACTTTAACATATTTGTGGTTTCTAATTTTCTCAACTGTCTTTACGCGCTTAATATTCCGACAGGAAACACTGGTGCATTTGCACATGAAACAAAGATAATGGCCAAGTCTGCTATCACGGCAAATGATTACAATCACACTGTAACTTTTATTGTTCGGCGTCTGAAAACGAGGACATGCTGGATCAAAAATAAGCAGAGGTGTACACACCATCCCGGGGAACCACGCGCTGTAATTTGAGCTGCAATTAACATAAATTACACATCAACAACAAAACAAATGTGGGAAAAAAAAAATAAAAAATGATGTTGTGGGAGTGCACGCGCAAGTCCTCTTTTGGTTTTCTTGTCCTTCGCAAGATAATTATAAGAGAATTAAGAAGGATAGCGGGGAAAAAGGCCAACCTGTCTCCAAGGGTTCAGTTTGTTAACAATATGAAGAGAAGTGAAAAAGTTGCATGTAGTTATCACACAAAATGTTTCATTGTTCTGCAAAGTTCAAGTACCACCTCAGCTCAGGAAGGAGCTGCAAATAACTGCAGCTGCACAGAACAACTTGTGAAGACTAAATCATTTTAACTTCAAAGCAAGAAAAGAAAAAAAAAAAAAGATGAAGACTTAAGAGATGTGGACAGACTTACTTGTTGAGAAACTGCTCCAGACCCTGCCTCCGCTCCTCGATGAAAGAGTCATCAAATATGCCATCGTCTCCTCTGAACGGTAGCTGCCTGAAAAGAGCTTTTCCAGGGAGAGGTGGTACGACCACCTTAAAAAAAAAAAAAAAAAAAAAAAAAAAAAAACCAAATAAAAAAAAAAAAAAATACT